AATCTTCTTGAAAACTGGAAAATTAAAAACAAGGGTTAAATGGAATCTGGATAAAAAATCAATTAGTATTTAAACCCACATGAGCTGAACCTCTTATCACTTGTGATAAAAAGTTTGTAACTTGTAAGTTGAGCCTAAATTACTATGCTGTCCTACCTTAGTAAATACAGCATTATGACCTTGATTTAATAGTGGTGATTCAGATTCCACCCCAAGTGATAACTGGGCACTGCAGCTTCTCTGTAAGAATACAAAATACCATCGCCAGGCAGAAATGTGGGTGCTGAGCCAGATTTATCTGGACACTCCAGGCTTAAGGCTTGGTCATGCCCCTGCCCCCCCTGTAGATGTCTCAGGATACTGACTAGAGAAGTTCAACAAATAACCAAAGAAAGAAGGAAGAGAAGGTAGAAATTTTAAAATTTCAAATCAGAGAGCTCTAAGTCAGAGGCCTATGGTATGATAAACCCTTTCTGACAAAAAAGAAGCAAAAAAAAAAAAGGAACTGGAGAGCAAACCTCTTTTGTCAGGAAAGCGATCCTTAGAAGAAGAGAGAGCCAGGAGCCAGGTTTCTGATCCTAGATCTGGTTTTGACCTGCTTTTGGGACCTTAACCAAGTGGCATAACTTCTTTGGGCCTCATTTTCCTCATCTGTAAAAATAAAGGATTGAATTAAGACAAAGATTCTTATTGAGCCTACAAATAAGCCACGGTTGTGGCCACTGATATGTGCTTGAATCTATCTTCAAGTTTAAACTCTATTATTCTTAATGTTCATTACAGAGAATGAATTCTACAGGAGTGTAAAGTGTCTCCCAGAGCTACATCCTCAGCAGACAATGCTACCGATGCTATCCTCCTCCCTGGCTGCCTCAGCAGCTCCTCCCTGGCTCCAGCCCTCAGACCTCAGGCTCCCTGGAATTACAAACAGATGTTTCAGTCCCATGCAATCAACATATCAATATGTTTAAATGCACAGGGAAACTAGTTTTCAAAGAAATTATGCTACATGTATTTCTAACAAACAGCAAACAATTCTTTGTAACAAAGACGATAGGCCCTCACTTATTATTTCACAAGTTTGACTGTTTGAACATGGGTCTAACTTGGGCCTCCCTCCCCAAAACCAACCACCATGATACCTGGAAACAGGCAGGATGGTTCAAGTCAGGCCCTCTGAAAGCCCTGGAGTGTGTTACTGGAAAGTAGCTCTTCAGATGGATAGAAAGCTCTGCGAGGACCATACCAACAATTATGTTTTGGGGGGTGTCGCATACTGCCCATCTTCAGAAGGTATGGACATGCCAGCCCCATTCTACACAGTCCACAGACTAAGGTGGCAATATATTATACACACAGGCTAGTGCCCCAGCCCGAAGTTGAAAACCATCTCTCAACGATAGTCTATTGTCAGGAACCAAGAGACCAAGGCAGTGTCACCAAAGAAAGAACCAAGCTGAATGGACAACTCTGGCAAGATGAAGAGAAAGGATGTGCTTCACATGGAAAGCTGAATTTATTTACACTAATCATGAATGCAGGCTCTCAGCTGGAAAAAATCTCACTTAAAACGCCAGAAGGTTCAGAACCATTCATAAGCTTTTCAGAATGCAAGCAGTTGCCATGGTAACCCCGACATCATGTTTCCTGGCATTGGACATATAAATTACACCCATAATGCATTTATACAGTTTGGGGCCACCAATTCATTGCAAAATAAATCTCAGTTCTGACTCTTGGCCTCCCTCTAACATAAAAAAGAGGACCAGCTGGACGTAGGACCCAGCTAGCCCCATGGATAAGCACAGAGCTCCACACATCTGAAAATGCTCATCTGAAGGCAAAATAAGAACTAAGGAAATAAGACTTCATCATCTATGCCATATGGGTAAGATTTGTAAAACAAAATGTTCCCTTCATATTAATGAAACTGTTGTTGCTTAAGTTAAAGAAACAATATATTACATCCGTATCTACATCTCTGAAATTCAACTATGTTTAGCAAGTTAAAGAAAAAGCAGATCTCTTCAAAGAACATCTTCAATAATTCATTAAGGGGATTTTCAACACCAAATAAGATAACTTTTCAAATGTCAAAACTGTCATTAACAAGAAATATCAAGTTTTATTTCTTAGGTTCGGAAGAGATCTATTCAATCATATTCTTTATCTTGACCAGGGGTATTCATCAACATTTACGAGAGACATATGCATGATTTTTAAAGTCCCTTACCTTTCTATAATCCACCATCTGAACACAGAGACGAAAACAAAATTATTGTGTACAAACTGCAAAGCATCTTCAATTTCACATTCCAGGAAGCCCACTGCAACAGTAACTTAACAGAGCTGCTGCAGGACATGCCTGTGCTAGCCAGAGCATTCATAAAATCGCCTACATTCTAATCACTAAACCACCAGGTCCACGGGAGTATTACCTTCATTACCTCCTCCTTCAGATTGCCGGCAACAGTCAGCAGTTGTGAAGGGGAGCAAAAGACTTCACCACGGGTTGTTTCCATATTAACAGGGACTCTGGTAACCGCTGCATTGCAGTCTTTCTGAAAGCTACCAACCTCAGAAGCAAAAGCGCTGGAGAGAGACTCCCAGCACAGGAAGCTGTCAAAATTTTTAGAATCTTAAAAAAAATGTTGCAAACACCTAGGGGTATTTCTAGATTTCCAGCCTGTTTCCTAAAGGTTGCCTGGTTCGTGGTTTTTACTGGAGGATGGCTGTGACAACTGATTGTGCTGGGTAGAATGCTGAAATGAGTGAAATGTGCATTATGACCAACATCTTTAGTACTCAA